ATACGCCAAGCTCAGCAAGTGTGAATTTCACCAGCAGACGGTGGAATTTCTCAGACACCAGCTCTCCCCCGATGGGGTGCAGATGGACCCCGGGAAGGTGTCCACTGTCCGAGAGTGGGCGGCTCCTCGTCCAGATCTTTAAATCTCACTTTATCTCGTTCCACACCTTTTCATAATGATCTTTAAAGAGGTTTGTATTCTTTGTTGTAAGCCATACACCCAAATATTTCACTTTTTAAACTATCATCAATCCTGTTTTTTGTTGAAGTTCACCTATTTCTTTACAGTCAATATTTTTAATTAGTAATTTTATCTGAGTTTAAAACCTGCTAAATGCCCGTATTCTTCTATCTTGTCCAGTGCTTCCACTGCACTGGTCGTTGGTTGTTCTAATGTCAATACCACATCATCCACAAAAGCCTTAAGCTTGTACTCTTTAGAGCCAATCCCAGTACCTTTTATTTCTTTTGTTGCTTCTATTTTCTTCAGCAGGACCTCTAATATTGTTATAAATAATAATGGCGATAGTGGACACCCCTGCCTAGTCCCTTTTGTTATCTCATTTTTTCTGTAAGGTTGTTGTTAATTATTAATTTAGCATGTTGTTCCAAATATATAGCCTTAATTCCATTTAAAAACTTCATTCCCATATCCATAATTTCCAGATTTCTTTTCATAAAATACCAAGACACATTATCGAATGCCTTTTCGGCATCCAAAAACATTAACACCGCTTGTTTGTCCCTCCTGGAATCCAATTATTCAATTATATCAATTATATTTCTAACATTATCCTTCAACTGTCTACCAGGTAAGAAACCAGTTTGGTTCTTTCCAATCTCCTCTCCCAATACTTTGAGCCTTTTGGCTAAAATGCTAGCAAATAGTTTACAGTCATTATTTAGGAGTGAGATTGGTCTATAATTTTTAACTTGCATTAAGTCTGTGTCTTGTTTTGGTATTAATGTGATATGGGCCTCTCTCCAAGACTCCGGAATTTTATTTCCACCTAAGATATTATTCATCACTTCCATGAAAGGGGCTGACAGTTGTTCCAAGCATTTCGTATAATATTTGGCTGTCAAGCCATCTGTCCCTGGTGCCTTTCCAATTATTGCTTGCTTTATTGCAATTTTTACCTCATCCACTGTTATATTGGTGTTGAGTTCGCTTTTCTTCTCATTGGGAATTTCCTGCAACCTGTTTAGTTTCAAAAATTCTTCTATTTTCCCCTCGTCTTCCTTCTCTTTTTTTTGTATAATTATTTATAAAATCTTTGAAAGTTCTTCCTTATTTCACTTGGGTTTTCTACTATTTTCCCTTCTACCATAAGTTTTGTTATCGTATTCTGTTTTTGTCTCTTCCTTAATTGCCAGGCTAGCAATTTTCCTGATTTGTTTGCGAACTCAAAACTCCTTTGGTTTAAAAATTTGATTTTCCATTCAATTTCGAATAATCAGTATCAAAAATTGTGTCTGTAGCATTTTTATATTATTTTTTGCTTGAGTATCCTTAGGATTACTTGCCAATTTCTGTTCATTACATATTATTTGTTTTAATATCTCTTCCTTTTTCCTCTCAATCTTTTTTGAATTGAGTTCTGTTGTATCCAAAATCATAAATACCCATACTGTATTTATGTCCACTCCTTTATTCAAATTGAGCTCAAAGTTATCCTTCAATGTCTTTTGTGCCTTTTTCAGTATTACTTGATTATCCAATAAACCATCATTCATCCTCCACCTAAATATGGTCTCTTCTTTTCCTTTCATTTCCTTTTTTTTAATTTTTTTTTATAATAAATTTTATTGATTTTCCATGCAATTATACATTTTTATCCAAAATACATCCAATTGTCTCTTTTTTGAACTTCCTTCAGCGTCTCTGACAATCATCCGTATTTATAACTTTAGTTACACATTCCCTTCTTTCGTATTGCCATTATACTTCCCTTCTCCCACTGTTTCATATTAACAATACTTCTCTATTTTTACAGTGCCTCTTGAAATCCCACTAGCGTTGTGTTCATGCCACATATATTTTTCAGATAATCTACGAACTTTCCCCAGTCTTCGATGAACCAAAACAACTATATTCCGGTTTGGAAGGGAATAAAGAAGGATCTGGAGGTGTGGGGCAGAATGAAACTGTCATTTTGGGGAAGCATATCTATGATAAAGATGAGCGTACTGCCAAAGATGTTATTTTTATTTCAGACTATACCCATTATAAAGGGTATAGGAATCTTTAAAGAATGGCAAAGAGTGATTTCAAGGTATATCTGGCAGGGGAAGAAGCCAAGAATAAAATTCAAGTTATTGACGGATGTAAAAGAAAGAGGTGGCTTCGCCCTGCCAGATTTGAAATTATATTACGAAGCAGCTTGCCTATGTTGGTTAAAAGAATGGATAAAATTAGAAAACAAGGAATTATTAGATCTCGAAGGTTTTGATAACAGATTTGGTTGGCACGCGTATTTATGGTGTGACAAGAAGAAAGTTCATAAGGGCTTTGGAAACCACATCTTCAAGAGTTCTTTAATAGAAGTATGGGATAGATACAAAAATATATTGGAGCCAAAAGTCCCACATTGGTTGTCTCCGCTGGAGGTAATGAGTGTTAAGAAAATTAATATGAGAGGTAAATGGAGTACATATGGTGAATTGGTAATTAAAGAAGGAAGAAAATGGAAACTGAAACCATTTGAACAAGTTAAAGATCATGTATATGATTGGTTGCATTATTTTCAAGTAAATGAAATGTTCAAAAAAGATCTGAAAGAAAAGGGGTATGTAGCCCTCCGGAGATAGTCAACCAGCGCAACCAAGGCAGTTTCAGTCCCATGGTGAGGCCTGACTCCCGATTGGAAGGGATCCAAATGGTCCGCATCCTCCAGGTGTGCTTGGAGTTGTTCGGCAACCACCCGCTCAATCACCTTGCCCAAGAATGGTAAATTTGAGACTGGGCGATAGTTAGCCAAATTGGCTGGGCCTAAAGATGTTTTTTTAAGAAGCGGTTTAATGACCGCCTCTTTCAGCGGGTCTGGGAAGGCTCCCTCACAGAGGGAAGCATTCACCACCCCACAGAGCCCATCGCCCAGCCCTTCCCGGCTCGCTTTTATCAGCCATGATAGGCAAGGATCAAGGAGACAGGTGGTCAGTTTCACTTGTCCAAGCAGCCTGTCCACATCCTCGGAGGTAACAGGTTGGAATTGATCCCATATAACAGGACTAGACAGAAATCTAGCACTCTCCCGCCCTGGCCCTGCTCCCACGGTGGAGTCTACCTCCTTCTGAATCTGAGCGACTTTATCTGCAAAAAAAATTGCAGGAGACCTTGGGGTCCCTACCAGGCCCCGGTTGTGCAGGTGGTTCCGATAGATTGTGAACCACCTGAAAAAGTCTCCTGCTGCTGTTTTCTGCAGATGCAATGGAGGCGGCGAAGGAGACCCTCTTCGCCGTCGCCATTGCCACTTGGTAGGCTCGACGTTGAGCTCTAGCCCGTGTTCGGTCTGATTCAGAGTGAGTTTTCCGCCACCGGCGTTCTAGCCGTCTCAACGATTGTTTCATCGCCCTCAGCTTCAGGGAAAATCTCCATGCAATCGGAGAGGGTGCTTCGGAGCCAGACAGTCAATAGCCCTGGTTAACTCCGCATTCCAGTGGGCCACCAGGGAATCAGCTGAGAGGCCATCAACTTGGGATAAAACATCCCCTACCACTCTCGGGAAACCATTTGGATCTATTAAGTAGCGGGGGCGGACCAATTCATTATAAATCTTTTCCCAGAAGTCTTTCACCTTGGGGCAGGTCCACCACATATGATAGAAGGTACCTTCTCTTTCTTTACATTTCCAGCATTGATTATCAGAATTGTGATAAATCTTTGCTAATTTAACAGGGGTCAGGTACCATCTATATATAATTTTCATTATGTTTTCTTTTAGAACAGTACATGCAGTGAACTTTACCCCTTTCTTCCACAGTCTTTCCCAATCCTCAAACATAATATGTCCCACATCTCTTGCCCAATCTATCTTAACTTTTAAGATTGCAACACCGAAGCAAATATTGTATCAGTAAGTATCTTTAAGTTTCTATTTTCTCCCTTCCCCAAGGGGCTAGGGAAAATTAGCCGTTTACATAGGCTTTTGTCCGTTTGTAGCAGAAAGCTCACATACTTTCGGTTTTGTAGTAAAAAAACTTACTGCGCCATTTTCACGCCAGCAGTGGGACGGACTCCCTGTTTATGTCCCCCTCTGTCTCCGAATTCAATCTTCACCAAATAATTCCAAATTTATTTTTCCTTATTTTCGGGTTATATTTTTGTATCGGGAAATCAGCTGCCTTTTGCCATCGAAACCAGAGGCTTCGCTCAACAGCAGTAGTGAGTAGACCCCCTTTGCACCCGTGCCTCCATCCCCTCAGGCTTCCAAACCTTTTTACAGGATCGTTCGCCTCTGGGGAGATATGCCAGGGGTGCCGCTGGGTCCCCAGCACCCAAAACTCCCTTTTGGGGGTTTTTTCCAGAGCTCACGGCGCCTTTGTGAAGCTCCAATCTCCTGTTGAGCTCAGATTTTCTCCGAGAGGCTAAAACTGCATCCAAAATGGCCCACACAGCTGACCGGAAATCTGTCGGTTTCCATTCCGGTGGAAGGTTGAGTTCGAGGTTCTTCCATAGTTGTAGGGCATCAGGTATGTTGGTAGCCGTGTGTTGTGTTATATTGGTTGTTACAATGAGGCAGAAGGGGAAGTCCCAATGGTACTTGATCCTTTCTTGTTGGAGATGCTGGGTGCACGGGTGTAGGCGTTTCCTCCAATCATAATCTTCGCCTGGAATTTGTTGAAAACCCCTAGCAGCTAATCTAGCCTTGTACCTTACAACTTCATTTTTGTCATTCATTTTAACTCTATAAACCCATTTTGAATCAATAAGTCTCATATCTGGGGTCTGTGGTACAAGAGACCAAGTGTTATGCTCTTTTAAAGCAAATATCTCAGAGTTCATAGTTCATACCAATTTGCAGCTTGGTGCTTAGGTAAATTCCGAACATCATTGTAGCTTTTTGGCTCAAAAACCACCTTATTGGCATACACAGTATTAAAATGTTCATCTGCAAAACGTTGTGGCTTCTGTCTCTTTCTATCTGAACGTCTCAGTCTGGAAGGAGAGTCAGACTCCTCAGACTTAATGGGACTCAGTAAACTACTAGTTTCAGGTTGTAAATCATTATTGTCAGACTGAAGAGATGCCCGTAGGCTAAGCTCACGGTCAGAAAACTCAAGAGAATCTAACCTGCCCTCGGGTGCCTGTAACTTTAAATCATCAAACAAATTACCAGATTCAACAGGCTTTTCATCTTCTTCCATTAATTCAGAATCACTATTATTCCCTGCTGCTGCTTCTTCCTCAGTATTATCTATACCGTTAGTATCTTGGAAAACAGCAACTCCATTCCAATTTACAGTTTGTATCATGCTTCTGGTAATATGAAATTTGCCAGTTGCTGGTACGTAAATTCTGTACACCCCCCGCTGGTAGCCCATTAATTTCCCCTGAACACTACGCTCACCCAATTTCTGCTTAGCAGGATAATGCATAATTACATCTGAAACCCAAATGCGTAGGTATTTCAGATTAGGGCATTTTTAAAACAACGTCTCATAGGGGGTGACATCTAAACCAGAATGATAACTACGATTCTTAACATAGCAAAAAGCATTGAGTGCTTCAGCCCAAAAAACTTTGGCAGATTAGCATTGTGCAGATAAATTTTAATCCCCGCCTGCAAGTCACGCTGCACAACTTCAACAAGCCCATTTTGCCAAGGACTTCGGGGGCAATTTAATCATGAGTAGTCCCCTGCTCTTCCAGGAAATTCTCAAAATACTCAGAAACAAATTCCCCGCCCCAGTCAGAAAACAGGTTCTTAATAGGTTTGTTAAAATGCGTTTTTACTCAGCTGCAAAAAACTTTGTACTTCTCAAATGCTTGAGACTTTTCAGCTATTGCATAAGTCCAGCAATATCTACTATACTGGTCTATCAGGGTAAGCCAGTACTTAGAACCTCCTAATGATGATGGGAGTGGCCCAACTAAATCACAATGTACACGCTCAAATGGCTCAGTTACTTTCCTATCTGAGCACCTACCCTTGCGTGCAACCTTAATCTTATTCTTGCAACAGGATAGACATTGCATAAAGAATTTACATGTTTTTAAGTTGAGGCTATTAACAATATTCTTTGTCTTAATTACATCAGAAAAATTCAGATGTCCTAAAAGTCTGTGTGCTTCATGGACACATCCAGAATGTGGCCTTACATTCCTCAACCCCTGGCTTGACTGTGCTGCTCTTCAATTTATAGGTGATTGTGAGTAGCTGCGAAAATACAGTCTATATAAACCATCAGAGTCCCGGGCATCCAATAGACGTTTGTTCCCATCGAAAAACTCACACATTGACTTTAAGAAACGCACGGTTATGCCTTGAGGAGCAAAGCACCTTACTGACAATAAATTATCTACTGACGGGCAGTAAATGCAGTTTGCTATCGTAATGTTTAAAGAGTCAAGTTTAACGGTAATAATAATAATAATAATAATAATAATAATAATAATTTTAATTTATATCCCGCCCTCCCCAGCTAAAGCCAGGCTCAAGGCGGCTAACAATAAAATAGTACAACATTCTAAAATCATTTTATTATAAAATTAATTCAACTCAAATTGATGGCAACCATTAGGCTAAAGTTCTGTGAAGATTGGCAAAGGAGGGAGTCAGGCTGTGCCCTGACCAAAGGCCTGGTGGAACAGCTCCATCTTGCAGGCCCTGCGGAAAGATGTCAAGTCCCGCAGGGCCCTAGTCTCTTGTGACAGAGCGTTCCACCAGATTGGAGCCACAGCCGAAAAAGCCCTGGCTCTAGTTGAGGCCAGCCTAACCTCTCTGTGGCCTGGGAAGAAGAGTTTGGATTTGATATCCCGCTTTATCACTACCTGAAGGAGTCTCAAAGCGGCTAACATTCTCCTTTCCCTTCCTCCCCCACAACAAACACTCTGTGAGGTGAGTGGGGCTGAGAGACTTCAAAGAAGTGTGACTAGCCCAAGGTCACCCAGCAGCTGCATGTGGAGGAGCGGAGGCACGAACCCGGTTCACCAGACTACAAATCCACCGCTCTTAACCACTACGCCACACTGGCTCCCACACTGGGACCTTCAGAAAGTTTTCATTTGAAGACCGTAAGTTCCTCTGTGGGACATACCAGGAGAGGCGGTCCTGTAGGTACCCCTGCCAAGCGACTGCAAGACTTGTGAATTGGCTAAATGTACATTACCAATTTCCTCTTCAAAAGAAATAAACAAGCTTCGATCATTGCAAATATGCTGGGATGCTCCAGAATCCACAATAAAATAATTCTACTTGGCACCTTTAATTCTTTTACGATCTTTTGTCAGAGCGTGAAAAGCTCACGGCTCTTTTCTGTCTTTACGATATGATGTCGGCTGCTGGGCTGACAACCATGATTGACAAACAGAAACAGACCTGGGAGTACTTTGCTTTCTTTTGGATCTGCAGTCCTTTGCAAAATGTCCTTGTTTATTGCAGAACCAACAACACTTGGCAGCTTTAAATGCAGTCGTATCACCACAAGTTTGCATATGGCGTTCCTCATTATTTCTGGAAATAGGAGTGCTTGTCGCGCAAACCTCCCTTCTGTCCAACTCGCCCATTAATCTTGCCGTTACCCCTTCCACAGTTAATTGTGCTGGTGGAACGGCAAATATCTGGCTAGCTACACCATCAAAGTCCTCATTAAGGGACTCTTTTCTAATATGTACTGCTGCAAGACTGTCCCACATTTCTTTGGCAGTTTTCTTATTCCTCATATAGACTACTTGCTGGTCACTGACTGCCAAATTAATTATAGCCCTGACTTTTGCATCTCCTTTTGACCAAGCATTAGTCACAGGGTCAGGAGGGTCATCAGTTACATAGGTCCACATTTCCCGAGAGGTCAAAAGAGCCTCCACCCGAAATGACCATAAACTATAGTTCTCATCTGTCAGCTGTGGGAACATCAGAGCCTTCTCGGCTTCTGGAACCCAGTCAACCATTCTGGAACTCTTCCAGACCCACAGTACCACGCCAACAGGAGAAGGAGTTTTCAAACCTTTCTCAAAGTCCAAAATGTGCAGTCATCCACTCAGCAGCTGTGCCCATAACCAAAGATGTTGGTTAATTGCAGATTAGTTGCGCTGCAGAGAGCTTGTTGGGGAGACCACACATTACAAGGAACTCAAAATAACTTTAGCTAGGTTTTAATAACAAAAACAAAAACTCATTTTACACTAAGTATATCAACAAGCATGACCTAACCACCAGAGTACTGAGAGAGCTAGGTGCTGCTCTTTATATATTATACCCAATTGCTGACACAGCTTAATTAACACAACTTAACAGCACCTGCTATACTGCTTCACAGCTGTAAAACTAGGTCATGTTATTTGCTCTGGCCCTTAAAGAATTACACATCTTGTGGAATGATAATGAACCTTCAAATTTAAAGAGACCATTCAACTATACACACACACACACACACACACACACACACGTACGTATATATACAAAAAAGTTCCTTCCTCCTCCTCCTCCTTCTTTTCTTAAAAATTGAAAATAGAAGGAAGCGAGGTCTATTACAGTGGGCTTCTCTTTGGCCTCCGGCTTGCATTTAGCACACTCGCCATCATGGAAGTGGGCTCGGGCTGAGCTTGGGTTCAGCCACGTGTTTACCTCTCCTCCTTTCCCTCGGCGGTGGCAGCGCAATGGTGACGGCAGCAGGGTCAGGGCTTCCCCTTTCCCCCTCCATGCTTGTTCCTGGGTCCCTCCGGCCCCAGAGCCCTGGATGGCAGGGTGTCCCTCTCCTCCTTTTCCTTGGCACGGCGGCAGCAACAGGGGTTTGCGCAGCCTTCCTCTTGCTTCCTCTGCCTGCTTTTGACGTGCTAGCCACAGTTGGGGGGGGGTAGGCTCATGCCAGGCTCAGCCGCGTGTCTTTTCACGGCTTCCCTTGCCCTCCCGGTGCTCTTTCCTACCTCTCCTCTTTTCCCTTCTCAGCGGCAGCATTGGCGTTAGCAGCAGCAAGGTCGGGGCTCCGTGTCTTTTTCTCTCTCCTCTCTCCTCTTCTCCCCTGTGCCGGCTTCGGGATCTTCTTGGTCCCAGATCGTCGCTGGGCAGTCGGCCGGGTGGCTGGGTGTCCTCGCTTTCATTCCCGGCTTGGCCTGGGGGGAGGGGTTGGCACCTCCCTCAGTTGGCACACTGGGCACCACTGGTTCCCTGTCATTTGTGGCGGCAGCAGCAGCAGTCCCAGTGGTCCGGGAGCCAGCCAGGTAGCCCAATTGGTTCTGGCTGGCTTCAGGAGCTGCTCGCTGCCATGGCATCTGCCATGATGCCTCACTGGAAGTCCAGATGAAGTCTGTTCTATGATCTTTGTTGGCATGCCAGATCCTTTCAACCCATCCCACTGTTCTGTTCACTGCCATGGGCGTAGCCAGGATTTTTGTTGGGGAGGCAGGCTTTTGTTGGGGGGGAAGAACCTCATATTTGTACTGATTTGTATTGATTTAGGGTGCCAGCTGCCCCTCTGCCCACCCTGGCTACACCCATGTGTCACAGCCTTTGGAGGGAAGGGCTGTAGCTTAGTAGAGCATCTGCTTTGCATGCAGGAGGTCCCAGGGTCAATTGCTGGCATCTCCAGGTAGGGCTGGTAATGCCCCTGCTTGAAACCTTGGAAAGCTGCTGTCAGTCAGTGTAGACAATACTGAGCTAAATGGACCAATGGTCTGACTCTGTATAAGGCAGCTTTCTGTGTTCCTGGAAAGCACTGGAGCTGAGCGGCAGCCCATCTGTTTTGCATGCGGAAGGCTCCAGGTTTGATCCCTGGCATCTCCAGGTACGGCTGGGAATATCCCTTGCCTGACTTTCTGGAGAGCTGCTGCCAGTCAGTGTAGACAATACTGAGGTAGAAAGACACATAGTTCTGATTCAGTATAAAGAAGTTCTCCATGTTCCTAGGTTCAAGCCCTGGGATCTCCAGGTAAGTTTGGGAGAGACTTCCAACTTGAAACCGTGGAAAGCCGCTGCCAGCCAGTGTAGACAATACTGAGCTAAATGAGTCAATGGGATGACGCAGTACAGGTGAAACTCGGAAAATTAGAATATCATGGAAAAGTTCATTTATTTCAGTAATTCAACTTAAAAGGTGAAACTAATATATGAGACAGACTCATGATATACAAAGCGAGATATGTCAAGCCTATATTTGTTATAATTGTGATGATCATGGTGTACAGCTGGTGAAAGCCCCAAAGTAATAATCTCAGAAAATTAGAATATTAAATGAAATCAGCAAAACAAGGACTGCAAATAGAGCAATATTGGACCTCTGAGAAGTAGAAGCATGCATATGTACTCAGTACTTGGTTTGGGCCCCTTTTGCATCAATTACTGCCTCAATGCAGCGTGGCATGGATGCAATCAGCCTGTGGCACTGCTGAGGTGTTATGGAAGACCAGGATGCTTCAATAGCAGCGTTCAACTCTTTCGCATTCCTCGGTCTCATGTCTCTCATCTTTCTCTTGGCAATGCCCCACAGATTCTCTATGGGGTTCAGGTCAGGCGAGTTTGCTGGCCAATCAAGCACAGTAATCCCATGGGCATTGAACCAGGTTTTGGTACTTTTGGCAGTGTGGGCAGGTGCCAAGTCCTTCTGGAAAATGAAGTCAGCATCCCCATAAAGCTCGTCTGCGGAAGGAAGCATGAAGTGCTCCAAAATCTCCTGGTAGACGGCTGCGTTGACCCTGGACTTAATGAAGCACAGTGGACCAACACCAGCTGATGACATGGCTCCCCAAATCTCTTTTCTGATGAGAGCAGCTTTTGGATCTCATTTGGAAACCAAGGACCCAGAGTCTGGAGGAAGAATGGGGAGGAACACAATGCCAGATGCTTGAAGTCCAGTGTGAAGTTTCCACAGTCTGTGTTGATTTTCCATGATATTCTAATTTTCCGAGTTTCACCTGTATGTCAGCTTCCTATCTTCCTATCTCCAGCATGCCTTATTCTGCTACCCACAGTGACTGCCAGGCCCTTCATCCCTGTTGCTAAGCAGTGAGGATCTAGGGTCACCAGAAGTATCAGCCAGAGGGGCAAGAAAAGGTGGCAGGCAGCCTTCAAACCCTGTTTGAGTTGCGAGGCATTCCCTCACCTTCATGGTGTAAGTCTCCAAGTGGAGGTTCTCAGCGGAAACTTGGAAAAGGGACTCAATGGTGCGATCGGATTCTGACAGCTTGGTCAGAAATAGCTTCCCAGGCTCCAAGAAACACAGCTCCATTTCCTGAACAGAGAAGATGATCTGATGGGTAACACTTGCCATCTGGTGGGTAACACTTGCCAATGTGCATCAATATGTATGTATTAGAAAAATGTGTCACATAAGTGGAAAATAAAATGAAAACGCACATAAGGGGGAATTTCTTGCATAAAACTATAGTCAAAACTGAACACAAAACATTTAGAGAGATCTGTACTAAAGCAGTAACATATTTTCATGAGGATTTAAAGCAAAAACTCACAAATTGTTGCAAAAAGTGGAAAACTGAATTTAAGATAGGAAGAAATGAGAAACGGAGAGAACTGAGCTTTATTTCTTTATTACATTTACATCCCACCTTTCCTCCAAGAAGCTCAATGTGGTGTACATGGTTCTCCTTCTCCCCATTTTATCTTCACTGCAACAACCCTGTGAGTTACGTTACGCTGAGAGTGAGTGGCTGGCCCAAGGTCACTCAGAGACCTCCATGGCCAAGTGGATAAATCTGAACCCTAGTCTTCCAGGTCCTAGGCCAGCACTCAAGCCACTACACCACATTGGCTTCACATTGCAAATGGACAGATTATCCCATCCCTAGTACTATCAATAGTGATGCACGAAAGTAGTGAAGAGGGCTGCCTACCTTCCCAACGCATGCCAATTCCTGCCGTAGCGTCACCACCATCTCTTCGTAACGGCACCTCCTGCTCTCTGAGATATGTTCCACAATGTCACTGTTTTTATTCTCAGGAACTGGGAGGGAGAGAGATTAGACTGTATGCACAGCTGTAGAACTCATGCCAGGCTAGCATAAAGAGAGAGATTACAATCCCTTCTACATTAAAAAATAGTAATGTGTTGTTGTTGTTTTTACAAAACCACTGGGTTAGCTGACATTCCCATGCTGCTAAAGAAGCCTGCCAGATTTTAGTTCCGTCTTCAGTTTTATGCACAAGTTCATCGTTACTCATTCTTATATGTTTTATTACAGTTACTTAAATAAAAGTGGTTTACAGACAATAAAAGGGAGGGCTTGACCACAATAGTTCAGGCATTGGTGACTTCAAGATTGGATTACTGCAGTCAACTCTGTGTGGGTTTGAAACTAAAGTTAGTGCAGAATGCTGCAGTATGTTTGTTGACAGGAGGCCCTGTCAGCATATAACACTTCTGCTCAGATAACTGCACTGGTGGCCCATTTGGTAACAGCCTAAGTTCAAGGTGTTACTATCGGCAAAACAATTTTGGGTTTTAAAGACTATCACCATCAGGTTGAACTGAGTGTGAGAATGCAGTGGCTACCAGTGCAACTGGCAAGGTATTGTCCAAAAACTGAGCAGTGGTGTTCTGCACTGGCTGCAGTTACTGAGCTGTCTTCAAAGGAAGCCCCAAGCAGAGTACTTTGCAGTAGTATAGCTGGTAGTCTGCATAAATGAAAGATACCACATTTGCTAAAAACACTGATTATGGTGCCAGAATTAAATTGGTAAACATTTACTTATGACTTCAGCAAGGCCTCGGACTTCCCGGGCAGCAATAACATTTTCACTTTCTTGAGCCTTTAAAAATGCCAGTGTTGCAGCCTCTCTGGAATAGAAACAGAGTGGGAGAAACTTGAAGCAAGAGACATTATTAGAGTTCAAGAACACATTCCAGTCAGGTCAAAACACTTGGGATTTGAAGTAAGGGTGAGTGAGGGGTGTGGCCTGGAAAAAGTTCCAAGGGTCAAGTAGAGAGGCCACATTTAGCCAACCCACATCTGCTGACGATGTGATAAAAACCCATTGCCTGAGCAGGTTTCCACATCCCTCACCACCGGAATTGTTCCTGGGATCTGTGGGAGCTTGTGCTGGGCTATCTTGCTTCTCGCCTCTCCCAGAGTGCGCACAAGGTTTATCTAGCCAAAGCCAAAGCCAAAATAATTAGACATCGTCCTTTAAAGTGCAAGAGGGCATGCTTATACTCACCAGAAACAGAGTGCATTTGCCAAGCAAAGTTAAGTACTTATGGGTCCCACCCTGATTTAATTCTTCGTAATATTTTGTTGTCATTTTTTAATAGCTAGAATTAAAGCATCTTGTTGAAGGTTAATGAAGTGAAAGTTGGCAAGTGAATAAAGGAGAAAATTGTAAGGCAGGGTTTGAATGGTAATGAGAGGCAAAAATAAGGGGAAAGGTTTTTCCATACAACTTCCAAATTACAATTTTCTCCCTTACAAACATGTATACTAAGATTTCAATTCACCTATGTGATGAAGTGAGCATGAGTCCCCAAAAGCTTGTGTTGGCATTCATCTGTCTTAGGAGACAATAGGGGAGTGTGCCTTTGTGAGTGAAGTCAAACTTTTGGAAGGTTACAGTGCCTGCTATGACTGTAGAGACCAATATGGGAGAGACAGGTTTGTTACAATATTCCGTTCCACCTTTACAGACATGTGGAATTTTTGTATGTCACATGTCTGTTTACACTCCAGCACAGCTTGCTGGGAACTTCCGTTTGTGTATAGCTTTTGCTTATGCTGCTTGCACTTGGACACGAAAGGGAGAAGACATGTTTTTCCTTTGTCCTGCTGTATGCTAAATAAACTGCTTGTAAATATGCTTTACACAGCCTCTATCTGCCACTTCTGTTGTGTGTTATTTACTCTGCTGATTAGAGTGTGCTCCAGCTTCTGAAGGCTTCTGAAGCTGTGGGTCGCTGTTTGATGCTGAGCCAAGGACCGGAGATTGCCCGGCTACCGGCCAGTGGGCCAGAGCCAGCTGGGGGCCTGCAAATTGCCCCCGATCCCTTGGACACATCCCAACAATAGGGTTATGGGCCCAGATCCACAGTGCTTACACCAGAGTAAGGCTGCTGATGACTGCTGTGTCGACCCAGCATGGAGAGAGGTATGTGGAGCCAAGCATTCCTGGCCGAGGCTAGAGGGCTTTTGATGTCCGAGCCAAGCAATTAAGGCTGGAGAGAAGCAGGCCGTGTGATTTATGACTTGCTTAGATAAAGCGACTGTGAAGAGAATTCAGTTCCTGGCTATAGTAAAAAGCAGGAATGGATCTCTTACAGGCAACGTCAGATGGGACCCTGTGTCCACGTCTTAATGGACACAATTATCAGACCTGGGCAAGGTACTGCGAGGGTCAACTGTGAAAGCTTGCAGTGTGGTACACTGTGTTAGGATAGTTCCGTTCCACCTTAAAAGGGTCAGGCATGATTGTTGTGTATCACATGCCTGTTTACTCCCAGCACTGCTCGCTGGGAACTTCCGTTTTGTATATAGCTTTTGTTCTGGCTGTTTTCCTGGACACGGAGGCAAGCAGTCATGTTTTTCCTTTGTTCTGAACTACGTTGAATAAAGCTGTAAATATGCTCTTCTGTCTGCATCCTTTCATTGTGGAGACTCTGCTGAAAGGGTGTGCACGGGCCTTGGAATGTCTCTGAGGCTCGTGTCGCTAATTGACTGATGCTGTTCCACGGGAGACCGGTGATCGTCCGAAGACGACTGGGGGCCTGCCTGATGCCTCCGTCTCCCTGGCAGTATCCCAACAATAGGTTATGGGCCCAGATTCACAGCGCTTACAGGAGAGTAAGACTGCTGAAGACTGCAAGAGGTATGTGCAGAAAAGCAAGGCTTTTCTGTGCCGCGGCAGAGAGTCTTTGAAGTCCGAGCCAACTAATTAGGCCAGCAGAGAGCAAGCAGGCCTCGTAATTTACGACTGCCAAAGATAAGGAGCCTTTGAAGGGAATAAGGCTTATGGCTGAAGTAAAGAGCTGAAATGGATCTTTTACAAGCCTCAGTTGGGGCTCCGTGCCCAAAGCTTAATGGCCACAACTATCAGACCTGGGCAAGGTACTGCGAGGGCCAGATGAGAAGGCTTGGTGTGTGGCACACTGTTTCTGAGGACCCTCCCAGCACCTTTGACAGATGAATGGGTGGCACAGGATTCAAGAGCCATGGGAATAATTTTGCTCTCAGTAGCTCCTGAAGAGTTAATCACCCTGGCTGGCAAGGCCAGTTGGCGTGAGATGTGGGAAGGGCTTCAGGCCTGTCATCTCCGACAAGAGTCTGGGTCTGTGTTGCTTTACTTCAGAAAGCTGCACAGGAAGTGTTTGGAGCCAGGGGAAGACCTTAGAGCCCATGTTTTGCATTTGCAGCATCTCAGACAGGAATTGACTCATAGAGGTTTCAATATGCCTGAGTCTCTGTTTGCAATCCTTATCCTGGACTCCCTGGATGAGAGCTATCATGCTGTGGCAAGCCAGCTGGCAACTCTTCCTGCGCAGGACCTCACTGCTACAAAAGTTTTGGTGACCTTGCAAAACAAATATGATAGGAGGAATGCAGCTGAGTCAGCTTGTGTGCTTCAGGGGGAGCAATGTGGGACAGCATTCCAGCCTCCAGGGGGAGCCAAGGCGTTGGCAGCTGTGAAGTGCTGGAACCGTGGAAAGCAAGGTCATATTCAGAGATGTTGCCCAAAGGCTGAAGCTAAATGAAAGAAGAAGCCTGCAGATGCCCAGAAGCAGAAGGGGGGGAGGGAAACCCAGGCCAGTGAAAAACAAGACTTTGTTTGCTGGCACTGCTTCTCCAAAGGCCAAAGGCAGATTTATCGTGGATTCTGGAGCAACGAGGCACCTTATGAAGAATCAGCACTTGTTTATTTCCTTCACACCTCAAGATGGAGAAATCCAACAGGCTGATGGAAAGACGTTGAGAATTGCAGGAGTCGGGACAGTGAAACTGGCAAGTCTGCACACAACCATCAGCGAAGTACTTTTTGTTCCAAATTCTGCAGACAATTTCCTCAGTGTCCCACAGCTGACTGGGTGAGGCTTTGAGATTTCCTTCAAGAAGAGCGTCTGTGTCATCAGGAAGAGCAAAGAGGACATTTTGCATGTGAAGTTTATAGATGGCTTGTTCTTGATAACTTATGATGACAATGCTGTTGATGTGTCTAATGTTGAATCTTGTTGTGTTGCACAAACTAACAAAGTTCTTCATGCAGGATGTATTCACGAGGCGCACCAAAAATTTGGTCACATGTCTTGGCAGGCACTGGCCAAGATGCCTGGGTTGGTTCAGGGTTTGAACTACAAGCCCTGTAAGTTTCACATGAAATGTGTATCTTGTGCAGAAAACAAAGTGAAGGTTGCTCCGAAAGGCAAGGTGTCTAGCAGTCAGGCTTCCAAACCCTACCAGCTAGTCCATGCAGACCTGGTTGGTCCACTTGCACCCTCTTTGGGTGGAGCATGGTACTTCATGGTTTTAATTGATTCTTTTTCCAGGTACATTCATGTGTTTATGCTCCAGCAGAAGTCAGAAGCGTTTCCTAAGTTCAAGGCGTTCTGTGCTTGGTTGCAGAATGCTCACAATAAACGCATTGGCTGTTTATTTTCTGATCAAGGCGGTGAATTCACTTCTCAGAAGTCTGAAGCTTTTCTGACTGAGAAGAGAATCCAGCATGGCCTCTCAAGTCCCAGATCTCCATGGGAGAATGGACTTTGCGAGCGAGCAAACCATACTTTGCTCCAAGGCCTAAAAACCTTGTTGCATGATGCCAATCTCCCTGAGAAATATTGGGCTGAAGCTTTATCGTGTTTCCTTTATTCCTATAACACGAGACTGTCATCACCTATTGGTTGTACTACCTATGAGCAGATGTTTGGTAAGAAACCTTACGTCAAACACATGTG